AATGACATTCTCAGCACAAACTTCGACTTTCCAAATGTTGGAATTGGACGAGCATTTAAAAAACGTTATACACTTGGATACCTGAAAATTTCGTCCTTCAGCTGAGAGGCAAACCGTAGATGTTTCTCTGCCCAAAATTCTCGCATACTGGAGAACCCACATAAAAGTCGATCCCACATCTAGGAAAATGACTTGCCGAGATGTTATCCCTTCTTTGACTAACAGTATCATAGCAAATCTCACCCGGACATCAGTTAGACGGGATCTGCAGGCTTTCTCCAAAACCTTGCACAAGGCAGCACTTTTATGATCATCCGGCAACACCAGCATGGGTTGCTTCTTTGACACTTGAAACACGAAAAGGTAATGTAGCATAAAAAAGTGAGATAATAGAAGACAAACTTACCGCATTCAATCACCTTCTCAAAAATCACTCCATCGAGAACGGGACGAAGTGCAGAGACAACCAGCAATGGGTACGCAGAAGCTATTCGTTCGACAACATAAATAAAACCGGATGTGGGTCTTTCTTGCAGTTCTGTCACGAGTTGCGGCAGCCTAAACTCCGAAACACTACCCTTATGAGCTCATAAAAATATCTGAAAACCAACCAAGGGAGCCAGTTGAATGGAATGATGGATCTAGCTCGCTCTTTCAATACCTGATCTAAACCTGTAGCAGAAAATATTCCGCATGCAACCACATGTTTAGAGGTCCACAGTATCCTAAAATGTTACAAACATAGATCAGACAAAAGGTAAATATAATAATCACTTTGCTAGACTACTGAGTAGCTAAACAGATAAATCAGTTTTTAGTGAAGATGAACAGATCATGATTCTGCATCAAAAGGTAGCTAATAGCAGGAGTGTAGACTTAGTTTGTAAAGCACATCTTATTTATGACATTGGTACACGCAGTGTTTAGCCATTCAAGGAGCTGCGATCGAATGGAAGAGAATACAAATATTATTCACCTGGCAATGTATTTTCTCGCTCTGGTCTCATTCTCTATTCTGGCCGCCTCGAAATAGCAATTGATAGCTGGTGACCCACGCGATAAAGCAGAAGCTTCATGCCTGTATCAATTGATGAACTTTAATCTGCATAAAACGTCTTCCCTTATAATATACTGCTAAAGAATATTAGTATCCATTCAAACTAACACTTCATTATGAAATAGGTTATCAAGGTGATGCGCCCATGTCTTAAACATGTTACAAGCTGTACTCATAGGTGGAGAATTTGTGGGATCGATCATAGCAGCAGCGGCCGAAAAAGCATGCATGGCATCGTCGTTCCTGGAAAGACTCAAAGCATTTGATAAAATTGGTATAAGTCGAACGCTTGCAAGAGAAATGAGGAGATATGCAATTTAACCGATTTGCTGATAAAACTGTGCTGCATTTTTTTCGAAAACGA